TATAAATTGATTGAATTTAAATATAGCATGTAAATATAATAAGATAAGTGAGTGAAAACTTCCCTTTAAGGAAATATTTAGTCAATAATACAGTATCTAATGATCAATCAATTTAGACAATAATATAGATAATTATTTATTGTTATATTTTCTATGCCTTTCCATAGTCTGATTTCAAAATTTCCAAAATAATTAATTTAATTACTATATTATCAACGCTTCAAAACAAATGATAAAAATAAGAGTACAGTATTTTCAAACCTTCAGTATATTAGAGTATAAAGAAAGTCATATAATTAGCTTATAATTTATAAGTTTACTCTTATTATAGTAATTTTTATTTGTGATTTTGTCTCGTTATGCAAAAGTCTGTTACACAGTATAGGATTTATACGATTAGAGATTACGACAATAGTTGGGCTTAAAATACATTTCCAAAACAATAACAAAAAACTTTCGATTCATTTGGATTAATAATTAGGTTAAACCAGTTATGCATTTGTACTCTAATGAGTGGAAACTTAAGTCTAGATTTTTGGATACAAACTTAATACCATGATTGATATTTTATATTGTGATTTAAGTTACTTAATCATTCTTGCAATCATTCACAAACCAAAACTTTGTGCCTATTAATTAGGTGCTTTCATTATATAAAATAATATTCTTAAATATCTCACTTATTATATTTCAAATTACATCAAATTAAAGACATTTTATGTTATTATGATAAAAAGCAAATGTTTTTAAATTCATCTAAACATCTAATAAAGTACTGTTTACTTTTATAATAAAACATAATTGTATATAATATTAAATGTTTATTTTAAGACTAGTTTTGTACAAATTAAGCAAACTTTTCACTGTAAAACTTTTATTTTGACGGTACAACCCTTTATAGTGATTTAATAAAATACTGCTTATTATGTTATAAAATATACTGATTAAACAAAATTGCAGCTAAAATATGTTTAGATTTAAATTTTAAACTCTAATCTTATAATATTAATTTGATGTTTTCAAACATCAAAGTAAATAAGTTATTTCATTATAAACAGTATAACATACTTGCATTAATTACATTATGATAAACTAAACAAAAACATAGATATTGTCAATAATTATAATTTATAACTCTTTGCGTTCAATCATTATAATGATGTTCAGACTGTTATATAATATAACTTATATTATATTTATGGATAAGCAGTAGTTTTTTTTCACTCTTTCAAAGTTCATTAGTTTTTCAAATTCTTTATGTTTTTAAATCATAAATAAAAACACAAAGATTTTCCAACTTGTTTCTAAAGCACTGGTTTTAAGTGAATATTAGACAAAATTTCATTATTATTTTCAAAAATCATATGAGGGGCTAAACATTTTTTGCTATTTTTATGCCTATGTTTAGTAAAATGAATGATTGCGTGACTAATTAAGGGCTTAACTCTCTATTGATTACTATAACAATTCCAATACTAAGATATCATTATTCTTGAGATTAATATTTCCCATTCAATTCAATGCGATTTATAGTTTATTAAAAAATTATTTTGTTTTGTCTTAAATTTTTTGTGTATTGATCGATCGGAGTCTTTGAGAAAATAGTGGTTTAGATATAATATTCTCGTTCATCAGCTCTCTCTCTCTCTCTCTCTCTCTCTCTCTCTCTCATGGATTTTTGTGTCAAAAAACTTTTTGGTCCACTTATGATGTGTTAAAAGATTTAGGATTTATGAACAGTTTTTTCGGTTAAGATTCGTATCCCAAGAGAAGATTATTTTTGTTGTTTTTAAGACATTTATAGAGGTTTGAAAATTAAAATTAAGGACACAATTAGCCATTACTATAACCAATCCACTTTATTATTTATTCACTTGTTCAACAGTATGTAAACATAAAATCTATAAATGTTTGTTTGCCCTAAAAATAGGTTTTACTAAATTGAAAGACCATTTCATCAGATATTAAGCAAAGAATTTATTTCCAAAAATTATAATTACTTTTAC